TAGGGTGGTCGTTAAAAAATTAAATTTTTTGCGGCGCCCAAAAAAATCCTTCCTTAGGACGAGAAACTACGGGAAAAATTTTGCTTTTTGATTTTAAACGAAGAGAACACGTGCCGACGGACAATTGAAGTTTTTCAATTGAAGATTTTACGATAAAATTATAGTTTTTTGAAATATTTGTTACGGTATTTAAATTTAGACAAGAAATCATGAAAAAAAGCTTGTAGGAAATTAAATTCTCTACAAAAGGGTTTCTTTCGTTTTTAGATGAAGCTCATATCTATCGAGATAATCTTATTAATAAACTCATAAACTCCATTAAGTCAGTCATTGTAGCACTAAAAACTTTATTTTTCCAGAAATATGAACAATTTTATAACTTCTATTCACAATTAGTTATTTAAATAGACTTTGCAAATGATAACAAAGTTATATTTGATATTATTTCCTTATTTTAAAAACGAAAATGTGCAAATTTATTTCTCATAAACTGATTTAGCAATCCCAAGGTTTGAGTAAGCTTCCTTTTGTATTTTTTATGCTTCGAGCTCTGTAATCATCCAAAATATGAATAATAAACTGCTTCTGATCTTTATCTTTCGTGAACAAATCATTGTATTCTCGCATTAATTTTACACCGCGTTCAGCAACATCGTTCACAACTGGTAAATTATTTACAGCGTTCAAACAGGTCTGATAATTTATATTTTATTGCAATTAATCAATCTGACGTGGTATAATAAGTTAATTCATTTCAAATTTTCATTTGATTTCACTGCTTGAATAATCAAGAAAATAATGATGCGGTTTAATTGTCATGATATGAATTGAATAAAGAAAATAAACTCTAAAGATAATAATTAATGCTGATTTTCCGTGACCATTCGAGTGAATTTGTGATTCGATTAGTGTATGGTTGATTCGCTAGTTAGTTTTCGAGGAAGTAAAGTTAAGATGCGGGCTGTGGGCAATGAAAGAAGAAGAAATGGACGATGGCGCCTGTCAAGCTATCAATGTGACTCCTTGTACTTCGGACGCATATTTTTAGAAATATCAGTAGTATTTGTACCCAGAAAAAAATGAAACGAGACTGAGGATACATCAACATTCTTAACAGGACAATAGAACCTATTGTCGACGTTTCAACGAGTCTGGAATGACATACTACTCCCTCGAGAACTGGGAACACTCAGGTACTTAAGCTTCTAGAGACTTTTCACCAAAGTCAATGTCAAGTCTGAGTACTTTTTTTGTATCATAGCTGCCTTAAGGTTTAATTAGTGATGCATTACGATGATGTCATTTTAATGTCATCGGTTGATCAATGATTCTAATGTCACTGATTTTGATACTTTTAATTGAAACCAATTCGGCTCACAATTACTAAGCAAAATTATTCTTCTTTAAGATGACACTGACTGTTCAATTG